TTTCTGATACAAAATATCATATTTCTAATTTTAAAAGAGCTAACAACATAGTTCAGGGCAAAAAGAAAATTTTTAACATGAGACTCATTTTTATTTCGTGTTATTAAGAGGACATTTGGGGTTTGTAAAAAAATGGGTTAATCTATAAGATATGCCCACATATCATTGCAACAAATAAGTGAACATTGTGGTAGCTACAAAGGCTCTCCACAATTATATTCGTTAACATCATTCACACAGTGATATTGATATTAATAATGCGGATGAAGATCAGTCACATGTCTCTACTGAGGCATATAAATATCACCTAGAGCAGTCAATATCACAAGCTGACTGTGATTTATCTAAGTCTTGTACACAGCATGGGAAAGGTGTAGAGGAGATGATAGAGTTGAGAGAGCAAATTACATATGCAATAGTTAATGAGTGAAATGTTGCGTGCGATATTTTCATTACGTATAACATGATGTGAAAAAAGCTATATGTTTATTGTAATTACTTTTTATGCAACGATCTTTATGTGGAATCTCAATTTGCTGAAATTTATTTTTTCATTCATTCAACCTGTATTTTTCACCACATGGATGACCTCCTAGGCAACCGTGAGTTTAATAAATTTCCTTTTCTTGCATTTTTTTTTAGCGGTCTATGATGAGATATATGACCTTTGGGTTATTGTTAAATGACAGTAAGTTGCTATGGATTTTAACATATATGAAATCTACATCAAGGCAACCAAGGTTCCCCTTCATTCTTAGTCATAACTCTCGAGGTTCCTTTAGATGGCCTTTGTAGTGAGATGCTTCTGTGGCACATACAAGATCAGTCTTACATGGTTTAAAGGCAACTATGATCCACTATCTTTAAGGTATTTTGTCTTCTTGAAGTGATATATTATTCGTTGGTTTATTCTTTGCTCTGAGACCTCACAGCTTTATAAATCATTAACTATAAATTTATATTATTCTTTTAGTTAATTCATATAAGTGGTTGTGGTTTGTGGTTTTAATCCTTAAGAAATTATGAGCTCGAACTTTTGGTGTCTCTAGAGTCTTGTAATGCAACTACTGATGATAATGTGCTCTACATAGATCACTAAAAGAGCATAGATATGGTAGAAAATTTTATAGTTGTCCAAGGAATAGATCAGCAGAGGATTGCATATCAATGAAACGATTTTATCTCAGATAGAGATCGAGCGTGGAGAATATCTTTAAAGAAGTTATCTTGTAAAGTTAATCGTCTATATTACAAACACAATATTATGATAATGTTAATTATTATTTTTTATTTTGATTGTTGCATTACTCACCGTTAAGTGAGATGTTAGTTCTGGGCGTAATATTTAAACTTAGAAGTTTTTTGGGATTCGGAATGTTTTTATTTTCATGTATGAGTTATTCAACCTTAAGAGATTCTCTTATAAACAACACGACAACAAAGGCATAAATAAAATGGCACTTTAGTACTTCTACTAAAAGAAATATAGTATAAATTTTCCAGAACATTTACTCTAAAGATGTTCCTATTTATGGTATGATTCCCATGATTTGGATAAAACGTGTAGGGGTGATTTCATCCCCTTCTCTTCTCATTCTCGATTAGTATTTCATTTTGAGCAATTATGAACTCTTTTAATTTTCCTACTATAATAAAGTTTTCAATTAACACGGAGATGTCAATAAAACTTTATGTCAAAAACGTGATCTTTGTGAAAAAGGTAATATTTCTTCAAGTCCCAAATATGCGGTTGCGAATATAATGGAAGCAGTCATGAAAATATTCCTTATTCCTGATCACATTCATTAACTCGGTGTAGGAGACTTGCAAAGAGGCTTGAGTGACATTCCTAACGACTAAAGGCAACTTGTTCCTCAACTGCAAACATGGTAGCGTCCTATTGAATTTTGATTCAAGCGGCATTGAATTAACCCCTATGCCTATTTGGTGGGCATCAATGTGGTGACAAGCTTCCATGTTCATGGTACTAGGGCTTTGATACCTCCTCCTAGTAATAATCTTATACATTTACAACATTACTGGCAAGTTCAACCATTCCTGCACATGAAAACGCTTTAATCATGTACTAGAATGATCTTAATTTTAGTCCTTACATACGTGCAGCAAGGACAACCATGAGTTCAAAATACATATTCAACTCTTCCCATGTTGGAAATGACTTTAAAATTTTTGCAACGATTCCTCGAGTTCTTACTGGATTGTAAATAGAGCTTGCAAGTTGTTCAATGGCTTGGTGCTGGCAAATTAAGAGATGAAGGTCCATCTAAACTAAAAAAATTTCATTATTATCACTAGTGAAAAGCATGTTAACCACCTAAAAGGTAATTCATTGATGATGGTGAGGAATAAACAGCATTTGAAGGTGTTGTTAATGTTTAGCAAGAAGGTAGCTAATTCAAAGAAGACCAAATAGTCAACAGGATTTATTCTTCCTTCGTAAAGTTCCAAGTATGAGATTTAGACTTTCACTGAAGCCTTTGCCTCTAAAATCTCTCTAGAGAATCTATTCGCCAATTTGCTTCTTAGTTCAATGGGGAGAGGGAGGGGATTCTTCATCACCACTTGAATAGTATGTTTCATCTACTACTAGCATAGAAGTTAATGCCCTGACACTTCAAATTATTAGATCCAAAGATCCTTCTAACATCTTAAACCTTATGGTAATTCTAGAAGCATGCTCCGAAACATCTTGAATCATCCCCATGATCCTCCTCCATTTCTTCAAGTTGCTTTCTAGTAATAAAATCCTAATTCTCCAAATTTAAAGATCTTTCTTCGTTTTGTTGGTTTGTTTTTAAAAGTGATGAATTATTAACATCAATTCATACTCCATGCATCTTTCAGAATGATGAATCTAAATTTGTCTAAGGATGATGTCAAAATATTACTAATAATACTTACAATGTTTCACGGAACAATAAACAAAAAGTGAATCAAATGAGAAGAAAAAGAAAAAAAGTTTTTAAAGAGAACTAACCCAAAGCACCACTAAATGGTGTACCCTTTGTCCTTTTATATGTAAGGTTTGGGTGCTACAGAAAAAGCTTCACTTTAACTTTCAAAATAAAATAAATTTGAAAATACGTGATAAATCACTTGTATACATGTGGGACATTCATGGGTCCATGTGATATTTGTCTTCGGATTTCTTGTTGGCCTAAGTGATCAATTAGTCGGCCGCCTCATTAGTGAAGCCACCAATCCTTGTGGTGAAGACATCAACTTCCCAATAAGACTATAATCGAGTCGTGTCAAGTATGTCATAGGTTGGACAGTTCATAATGAGTAGAACTTTCACATAATTGTTCATACGTTACTTGCTTAAATTTTCTAATGTCCATACTTGATTTGTACATAACTTGTTTATATTAGTTGTAAAAACGAGAAATTCAAATGAGACTTAATTTTTTTTATACAAAATTAAAAATTAAATTTGTACTTGATTTTTCATATAAAGCTAATAAACAAGCTAAAATTCGAATGAGAACTTGATCATTTATATATAGTTATTAACAAATAATTTTACAAATCTAAATAAATAAGCAATGGAATAAATTTAAAATTGGCATCTAACTAGTTTATATTAAGTAAATAACAAAATATATAATTATGCGTAAGTTTTCTTACAATCAAATAACATAAATAAGTATTAATAAACTAATTCATTAAAATAAAAGATAAGAAGAAATTGTATTAAATTTATTTGCATATTGATATTAAATTATCATATATTATTGAATGTGTAATTAAATAAATTATAATTAATCAAAATTTATTTAAAATATATATTATATAAGTATAGCATTAACAAGTTATTTGTTAAATAACAAACAAACTCATTCATGAACATTAATAAACGAGTTGGATTATGTTCAAATTAGGTTCATTTAACCTTCAAGTTTTAAACAAATGTTCAAATTTAATTTACTAATTTGAACAAACATGAACGAGTATTAATCGAGTTGAATTTGAGTAGTTCATCAAGTGCATTGGTTCATTTACAGACATAACTCCTGATGAACTTGCCCAGGTTGGCAAGTAGCTCCAAACCTAAAAAGTCCTTTGGGCGAGTAATCACTGAGCTTGGTCAAATGGCCCTTATGATTAGGTAAGAAATCTTGAAATGAGCTTGGGCATTTGTGCAAGTTCCCCTTGAGGGTTTAGGGGGTAGGCTAGTAGGCCCAATGACAAGGCAAATAGGCCTTGATGAGATATTATTTAATTATATGGCAATAATAGACTTGGGGAATTCCTCAAGATCCTAGCGAGTTCGATGTCTCTGTCTTTCCTATCTAGTCGACTTTCTCCAAGCTAGCTCATAGCAACTGATCAAGAACTCTTAGATATGTGCATGTACGCCCTTTACATGAACATCACCTGGATAAATTTTTCTTCTTTCTTTTGTAAGAAGAGAAATTAAAAAGGATTGTTAAACATTTATAAGGTAAGAACAATAAATTGTTCAAGTTTCTATTCGGTATGATTATTAAAGGATCCAAAATATCAAGAGTATATTAAGCATATACACTATTGCATAACAACAAGAAAGCTCAAGGTTGTAACAAATTATAAAAAGCATATTCAGCCTCACTTTATAATGCTTATAAAATTTGGCCGATCAAAAATCTCATTTATTAAAGTTTGAATGTGCCAATAGTGCAAAAGAAATTGCTGCAAGTGCAGATCCTCATAGTCTTGCAAGCATGGGCTGCACGATGGTGGAAGCTGGAAACAATCTACAAACTGCAGTAAATTCTAAAGTTACCAAGCATACAGCATGGAATATCGAAAAGAGAATCTAAAAATTGGACAGAAAAAGAATGAACTTACACATTTTTTATACATGATTTAGAATAAATGTCAACAGGTTTCAAGAATAACAGTTAATCAATGTGTTCTGCTTGCAAAAGGAAGAGCATGACACAGACGAAATAGATACAGGAATATATGAAAGAGTCAAGAGAAACACCCAGACATACTTCTAAAAAGGTGATTCTCCAAACTTCCACGAGGCATATATTCATATACCAATAACCTTTGATCATCTTCAATGCAATAGCCAACCAACTTAACCAAATTAGGATGAAGAAGTTCACCAAGAAAATTTACTTCAGCCTGCAAAACCATAAAAATTTATTGTGTAAATGCGTCTAGAATGTGAATAAAAATGGTGAAATGAGGGGAGAGGAAGAGCGAGAGGGGGAAAGAGAGAGTAAAATAGCATTTGGAATTTTTAGTTAAAACGTACCAACCACTCCTTGTGCCCTTGGTGCCCATCATGATTCAGTGTCTTCACAGCAACAGTGAGACCTGTACCAGGTTTAACAGGGGCAGTTCCATTCTCTTCAATCCAACCCTTGAAGACACAACCAAAACCTCCTTCTCCAAGAAGGCTTTCCGGTCTGAAGTTTCTCGTTGCGCATTTAAGTTCATTAAAAGTAAACTTCCTCAACTGCGATGCAATTTTAAGATCCTCCCCAACTCTAGAAGTAAAGGAACTACTCTCTCCATTGCTGGTTGTGGTAGAACCAGAGACTATAGGCACAACTGGCTGGCCACTACTACCATCATTTGTAGATTTACTTTCTGTTTGCCCATGCAAAATGTATATTCAGTTAGATGAATCAATTATCACATGTTTGGAATTCTACTTCATGCATAACTCTCGGTAATAAATGCTTTAAAAAATGGATAACACAACCATCAATCTTGAAAATAAATAGAAAGCAACAAAATATCAGTCACTGCCCTTCCGAATAGTGATTCTATTCCCAGACACTCAAAGAAATTGAATTACAAATCTTATTACTTATATTACTAGGCACCCAAATGAACCCTGCGTATATGCTTTCAGAAATGTGAAAGACATTTTTTATGACTAAGGTCCTGCACTAGTTATTCCCCAGTGATTGGCTCTATAGACACTATAAATTGCAGTAAGGAGGATAAGTGAGATAAACAAGGCCTAAAAAATACTATTGCCTCACCAGCCAATTCAAGGTTCATGCCAGAGGTAAAACACGCAAATTTCAGATCACGTTGAACATGAATCCTCAAGCTGAGTGCATTTCTACAATAGATTTTCTAGAGATGAAGTACCATAAATGAACTTGTAAAGAAAAGAAGCACAATATAGACTTGAACATCCTTGGATATAAGAATCTAATAAATATTATGATGTATTCATAAAATATTTTTGTAGACCGTACCACCCAAAAATTATCAGTAGTGCCATTAGCCTGGTCCAATAATTGAGGATTGACTTTTCGGATCTTTTTTCCTCTTATATACTTTATGAGGTGTTATTTCCATTTTGTTATTATTAGTTCATGAACTATCCTCCATGGTTCCATCACCCATGCTCAAACTACCTTAATCACATTTTTACTATAGCATCTTCAAAAAGTGCTAATCCCAGTGACTCTCAATCTAATTATTTATTATTCTATCCTTCCTAATTTAACCACATATCCATATTATCTTTAACCATTTCATCACACTAAACTTAAACGGTTACTTAGTTATCGTTAAGACACTTCAATCCAATTGTATAACGAATCTAACTATAATTTTTGACAAAATTTTCTGTTAGAACTTCGTGATATTCACTAATTGCACTTAATCCATGAGATGCTTCTTTATTTTAATCATCAACTTTTAATCTAGGAGTTATACTTCATCACTATATCCATTATTTTGAATAGCAGAATCAAGATAATCAAACATATCTTCAAAAGATAGCACTCATTTTCTTATCATAATTAAAATAATTATCATCATAAACATTAAAGTTACATAAATTTTCAAAGACTAAATATAAGTTCATTACTTCTTTAAAAATTTCTTCAATATTTTAACTTACACAAACTTCAAAAGGTGTTTTAATGATCAAGGTCATCTGCTAATAACAAAAAGGAGTCCAAAAATTAACACCCGGCTCTTCAGTGAGCATAGGTCTGACTTAGATTTTCAAAGCGGATGTCAAAGAAAACACTATCAAGAGATTACACCCTTATTTTGCAAATGCTTTTACAACGTTATGAGGTTATCATAAGTACAAGCTCCTATGATTAATTACACCACCCAAACATGAAAGATAAATTTCAATTAAAGCTAATTGATAAGCGTTAGAGGCTTAGCTTGTTAGAGAATCGACTGATTTTGGATTAAACATATATATATATATATATATATATATATA